ATATATTTTGTATGATGTTGCCTTCCTTTAATGAATTCTTCTAAGTATAACACCTTGACAACACATCATCTCAGGTTAATATATCTCGGATAGAACTACTATCAAACATCTCGAATAACTTCAACTCGTAAAATTTTAACAAATGTCACATTCACTCAACTTATTTATGCTCTCTGCCCGTTGATCTGCGAAGATCCTCTGATCAGGGTTCCTTTGGTCTTCGGGGTTCGCTGGGACACTTCTCGCCGTGATTCTGTCCTTCCGGCATTTTATGATGGCCGGTGCAAGTTTCCAAGTCTTTTCTCATGCTGTGGGACAATTGGCACTATGGTTTGTTCCTCCTTCTGGGCGCCGGTGTTTGTTGCCAGAGTTGGCGTTGCTGGTAAAGGCAACACTGGCTACATTACTTTGTTCTGCATTATGAAGTTCACAATGGTTTACAGGTCCGTCAATTTGTTTGCCTGGTCCTTCAGCTCATCGTCTCTTCTCATGCATCTTTCTTCCATACCTGGAAGTCATTCTCATTGCAATATTTTTCTTGGTTGCCTCTTCTCGGGCATTATGGCCCCTGGCGGCATTGTTCGCTTCAAGGTTTACTTCTTGCGCTTCCTCGTCATTATTTCCTCCTCTAGCATTTGGATCTACGTACTTCTTTTTCTCACTATGTATGTTGTTCCCGACTCTCACCTCTTGTCCAGTGTTGGCCATCCATTCTATACTAAGTTCCCACAGTCGACACCGAATTGTAGGTCTTGATTTTTAACCTAACAACCAAACAAATTTTTTTCCGAGATCAAAGGAACTTAGCTAGAGAGCACGCAGCATATTAGATTAAGTCAAACATCTGCACATAAGAAAGTGAGAAATATAGCAGTGGCTCGTCCACCCAGCGACACTCCGACGATCAAATCAGTCAACTTATCTATCAAAGATATCAAACAAGTAACACAACTCTCAATTAAAACATACCTTAGACTCACGGGGGTGCCTCACCTAGATAGCCATCAGTGCCCTCGCCCTCAAGAAGTCTTACTTCACAAGATTCAAGCATAATCTTAGTTAGATATGAATGAATGAACTCAAAAGTTTCATCCTTATCTGAACTAAGCGGATCACTTATCTAGAACTCTTATCCCCTATCCAAATATCTCGGGATTTCGGTATTACCGCACCATGTCTCGGCAATACCGTAACCACCTTGGCAATCTTGCTTATCCAAGTCACACCTCGGCCGACACCTCGACCACGTGACGCGACCCTAAAAATACGTCCCCACACAAATCAATAAAATTTGCAAGAATATTGACATATTTACTAAATGTGTATCTATATTATCATTATAAATGTATTGATACAAGTAGAAAGGAAGCTGTCCAGTCTTAACCACTGTTTAAAAGACTTTTTAAGTAAAACAAACAATTTCCAATTAGATCTGGCCTCTCACAGTGATCTTTGGGATTTGTCTCACTAAAATTTTTGTCCAAATGACGTGTCCACCCAACACAACCTGAGATTATTGCTTTCTTTCTTTTAAACTCATCTTCTAAAACTGCATTCGATTTGGAGAGTTGATGTATGCAATTTCCTCCTCAGCAATTCGAGCTATACCTTTTTTTTACATTTCTTCCTGTAATTTTATTTTTATTTTTATTTTTTTTTTTGTGGTCATAGAGAGAGTTAGGTTGATGTTGTTTGTTTTGCACTATTTAACTGTTAAAAATCTTAGATACATGGAATACATATAACTGGAGTCATAGATAAGTGGCCCAACGTAACAGTTTTATTAGGAAGTGTTGCAGACCCAGTCTAACTTGACACAATGGAGTACTGTGGTGTGGCTCCATAACTTTTTCCATGACCAATTATAATTAGTATCTTGTTCTATATATCCATGATGAAGGGTGTCCCAACACCATAAACATGGCCCCAAATTAAATGCAAATCTTGACCAATGATCCCAAATTTTTATGTAGCATATATATTACTGGAATGGAACATAAGAGAAAATGATGTGTGCAAGGCTATCATACTAACCTCAACATTCACATAAATATAAGAAAAGAATGAAACAGCAGTACCCACCTTTAAAAAAAAAAAAAAGAAAAAAAGAAAGGGAGGATGTTTTATGATTTTGATGTATCTATCTAGCATTTCTTTTATTTTGGTAGATATATATGACACTGAGAGGACAGTGGCTAGGAACAACTTAGTCAAAAGAAGTGTCTATCCAATTTTTATCTATTTATTTTTATAGAAAAGAAAATGGTAAGAAGCTGTGAATGAATAGGAGGCATTCATTCATTCATTTTTGTTAGAAAAGCAAATGTAAAAGTGATCATTTTGGACAAAATATTGTTGCAGAAATTAAATAAGGTTCCTGCAAGAGAATTGATGATGAGCACTATTAACCAACTAACTAGACAGTTACTCTGAAAGAATGACTCTGTTCCCACAAAAACAAGCTAAAAAGGGTCACCCAGTACGCTTCATTTTATGGAATTTAAGCCTCCCACCCACATTCAACTGCTGTGCTTCTCTCCACTTTGTTTAGATTCAATGTTCACTTTGAATTTTGTGGGAGAAGTTGTGGGCCTCCACAACAATGGACTCCACTGTGATCCGTACAACTTCTCTCTCTAAATCTGAACTAGACATTCACTATAACTACAAAGAAGTTAATGTCATAATTAAATTACTTGTAAAAAAAAATTATAAAAAAAATCAGTCTAACTATATTTCTATACTATCACCTATTCCGACCTTTTCATTGGAGCACAAGAAGAAAGAAAGAAAAAAAATGAAGAATACAAAGTACTTTCCATTAACTTCAAAACAACTTTTATTGATTTCAAAACTTCTTCTAATCTTTTCATAATTTCAAGACAACTTTTATTGTTTTCAAAAGTGCTTCTAATCTTTTCACAATTTTTAAAACACTTACACCACAGCATTTCTCTTTACATTTTGTAGAAATAACAATTATTGATAATACTTCTGGGTGCATCATAATTATCCTCTTGCTGATTTGGAGGATAGCCTTTTAACTTTCGAAAGTGAGTTTGCTTTTTTATTTTATTTTATAAAAGGCATTAGAAGTGTGATTTGTTTGGTGGAAAGAGAGTTATGAATGGGTTTCCTTCTTGTTGTTGGAGACTCTTGGAGTGTACGTACCGAGGAGAGGAGGTATATTAGTGTCAATTAAGAGAAAATGACATATTTCACATTCATCAAGTCTCTCTCCTCTACTATATGTGACTTCCAATTAAACTCTTTCGGAATTAGTTGTCATTTTTTATTTTGTTTGTGTCCATAATCTGAGAAAAATGGAAAAAGAAGAATCTCATCACAACACTACATTTTGTAGAAATAACAATTATTGATAATATTTCTGGGTGCATCATAATTATCATCTTGCTGATTTGGAGGATAGCCTTTTAACTTTGGAAAGTGAGTTTGCTTTTTTATTTTATTTTATAGAAGGCATTAGAAGTGTGATTTGTTTGGTGGAAAGAGAGTTATGAATGGGTTTCCTTCTTGTTGTTGGAGACTCTTGGAGTGTACGTACCGAGGAGAGGAGGTATATTAGTGTCAATTAAGAGAAAATGACATATTTCACATTCATCAAGTCTCTCTCCTCTACTATATGTGACTTCCAATTAAACTCTTTCGGAATTAGTTGTCATTTTTTATTTTGTTTGTGTCCATAATCTGAGAAAAATGGAAAAAGAAGAATCTGATCACGAACACTCACACCTACAGGTCTGTATGGAGCTCACTAACATGTGAGCGTTGTGTCTAATTCCGAGACCAAAATTTGTGTACCTTTAAAGAGTTTAAATTAATGTAAGTAGCATATGTAGAAATGCATATTGAGGGTTGTGAGTTGTGAACTACACACCAGAATTCCTTTGAAGCAAAGTTTAGAGCCTTCATGAAAACAACAGTGTCATATAGAAGCATATGAGAGAGTAGAGAGAGGTATACTTTAATGTGAGTGATATTGTCACCATGAAAAAGAGATGATAACAAAATAGGGTGACACAGGCCATCTTATTATAAAGCTTTGCCTTCACATGCCTCGCATGCTTAGAGAGACAGACCTTTTTTTTTCCCTGGGATTGGATTTGGCTAATTGAATAGTAGGAGAGTGAGTGAGTGACTGGTTTAGATCAAATCCATGTATGTGGTGATCATCTGTACTGTCAATTGAATTGCAGCAGAGATCTACGTTTAAGGTTTCACTTAATAATTTTTTTTTTTCTTCTCAAACATCATTATTCCAATCAACAACACACTTGCCATGATACCCCATCCCATAAAAATACAAAAATAGAAAATAAAAAAAATTAGAGTCAGCCAATTGATGTAGTTCACTCTGGTGGGTTAGTACCGGAAGGAAGGGTCCATTGCATAAGTGAGGCCCAAAAAAAAACGTCCATTGCATTAGTGAGGCCCTTGAATTGGTTGTTGATTTAGGATTGATTGACCATGTTCCAAATATATATAGCCTATACCACGTCATCAGATAGAATTTGTCTAACCAATAATTGTTAACCATCATTGCATAAATACTAATATTAAAATCAAATACAATGAAATCCACAACAATTCACTTTGGTCAGAGAAATAACTCGTATAATTTACAAAAGCCACAATAAATAGTCTTAATGAGGAATCTCATAACCATGCTTGTGCCGAGAGAAGTTTCTCTATATTGTCGTGGATATCAACATAAAACCCTTGGAAACGTGCATTCTCATTAGTATATGAGAGAATCCATTTCTGAAATGACATGTGTTTCTACTTCTCATCACTTGTAGAACTCAAAATCAGTATCTGGCTTCTTTAACATTTGTCCGGTAACCCTTCTCAAAGTCCTTCGGAAGTATAACATTAATGGTTCTTGCACCTGCAACTGCCAGAGCCTCAGAAGTAAGCATGGTCACCACAACCCCCGCAAGAACCCTTACAGCTACACCATTCACCGGTGTGTCCGGAAGCCTGCTTCTTGACATATAGCTGCTATCTGCGCATCACAAACTAAATCATAAGCAACAAAGAAGACAAAATTTTATGAAGACGACGATGAATAAGAAGATATCGGGCCCTGTTATCACAAAAATGATGAGACAACTGGATGTAATAACACTTGATCTATCCTTAAGTACATTTTCGTGATCTAATCTAAATGAAAGAAAGTACAGGAATAAGGGTCAATCAGCAAAACGTGGAAAGAGAACACAGGGAGCAAGACAACATTTTTGGAAACACACACAACCCGTTTAAAGCTATTAGTAGTATCAATGAAAAAATATTTTATCCAAAAAAAAAAAACAAGCGTATTTTTTCTTTTTGCCTCTTTTGTTTCTTTGTTGGTAAGCAAACCCAAGAGATATTTTCCAAAAAGTTTTCAGAACTAACAATTCAGATTGACACATTACTAATGACAAAAACAATGCAGCCAAAAACACAAACGCTTGCACATACATTCATTCTTCAATAAACGTGACAGCAGGAAACTACAAATTAAACAAAGATTAACCATTTTTTTTTTTTTTATGTCGCAAAGATTAACTACTTAAAGAGTAAGAGTATCTACTGCAGGTCATATGATACAGAAAACAGAGGGGAAAAAACCAAGTAAGTAGATTTAAAGGGAAACAATCAACTAACCTCAGAAGCACTTATTTTATCAAGTTCAAGCCACAGTCCTCTAAGTCAACTTCATCACTCAAGTTCATCTTAGCAGTGCAAACCTATGAAGGAACAACCAGTAGCTAATATCTATTTAACTAACAATGAAGTCTAGCAAAATCATATATATATATAGAGAGAGAGAGAGAGAGTCCCACAATTTAGAAGACGATTACCACAGAATCAAGCAAAGTACTCTGGAGATTCATTTTACGGCTTTCAAATTGACAGAAAAATTAAAGATGCTTTAATCAAAAGGATGTTACAAATACCAAAACACAACTGACCTGAAAAACAAGCCTCTTTTAAGGGAATTCAATCTTTACTAGGGCATAGAAGTGCTGGGTCCAAGGTGTCTGCATGGTTAGTTGCAATTATATCCTTCACAACTTGACTGACATAAAATTAGCCAATGATACACTAACATGCAGACATTTAGCACGCTTACTACATTAAATAGTCTCTAAACCAACCAAACAATAGTTTCATAAACAAGAGTAAAATGAAAAGCAGAAGAAAATATCTAGAATGATTAATATCTTCAGAGACTTGTGAAAAAATGTATATAAAAAAATAGCACTGCTCAACCTGGTAAAACTCAAAAAAGCACATGGCATTAGGTGAACAGAGTAGAGCCTGCATGTCATTCTCAACTGACCTCTTCTTAGGCTTGACTATGTCTTCTACTACTTCCACTACCCTTCTATACAACTACTCTCTCTCCCCCTCTCTCTCTCTCTCCAAACAACTACTATATAATGGCATCATCCGATCACTTCATTTACTAAACCTAATTTAGTAGCAACCTACAGTGCAAAGGCCACAAACATGGCCTTGTTCCTAGCTTTCTATTTACTCATGCTCAGGCTTTCCTTTACTTCAGCACAGCAGCCAAACACTTTGAATAAGGCATGCATTGATGGGGGTAGTTTCCTTTTGCGGATTGGTGTGTACCAGGATAGCTGCCCAGAGGCAGAAGCCATTATCTACTCTTGGGTGGAAAGGGCTTTGTCTGAGGACCATAGAATGGCAGCTTCACTGCTTCATCTCCATTTCCATGATTGCTTTGTCAATGCAAGTCATGCTATATATTATGCTTATTATTCCTGTTTTCTTTGTAAAACCAAACCAAACCAAGCCTTAAGTCTCATCAAATGGAGTCGGCTACATAAATCCTTCTCCACGCGGCCCTATCAAAGGTCATTTCGTTAGTTAAATTAAGTAGGTCCATATCTCTATTTACAACGCTAGTCAACGTTAATCTAGACCTACCCAATCCCCTAACACTCACATCTACCGTTACAACATCACATCTCTTCACTACTGCCTCTATTGGTCTCCGTTGAATGTGACCGAACTATCTCAATCAATTCTCTCTCAACTTATCTTCTATCGATGCTACTCCTACCCATTCCCGAATATACTTATTCCTAATTATGTCTTGTCTAGTCTTGCCACACATCCACCTTAGAATTCTCATCTCAGCCACACTCATCTCATCCATATATTGTTTCTTGGTTGCCCAACACTCCGTCCCATACAACATCGCTTGTCTAATAGCCGTTCTATAAAACTTACCATTTAGTCTAGTGGTAATTCGTTTATCGCACAGTACCCCAAACGCACTTCTCCACTTACACTATCCCACCTTAATCCTATGGGCCACATCCGCATCAATCTCCCCCGTTGTTATGATAATTCGACCCTAAATAACGAAAATGTTTACTCTTAGACAGTTCTTGGTTCTCAATCTTCACTTCTCCTCTGTTTTCATTGTTACTGTTACTAAATTTACACTCCATGTATTCTATTTTAGTTCTGCTTATCCGGAATCCTTTAGATTCAAGAGTTTTTCTCCAAATCTCCAACTTTGTGTTAACTCCTTCTCTAGTCTCATCCACTAGAACAATATCGTCTGCAAAAAGCATACACCATGGCACGTCATCCTGAATATTTCTCGTCAACTCATACATAACTAAAGCAAAAAGATAAAGACTTAAGGTAGATCCTTGGTGTAACCCTATAGTGATAAGAAATTCATTTGTCTCTCCAACAGGCAATCTAATAGTGGCCACCACCCTTCATACATGTCCCTAATCATAGCAATGTAATCTTTTGTCACCCCTTTCTTCTCTAACACCCAGTGTTTTTAAAGGCTCAAGGCGCACTAAGGCGCTGAAGGTCTCTCGGGGCCAAGGCGCAAGGCGAGGCGCAAGGCGAGGCGCAAGCTTTATTGAAGCAATGCGCACAGTCTTAGTAAAAAATAAATAAATTACGATAGACTAATCATTTATAGTATTGAGACAATTTTTTTAAATAATATGTTCTTGTTAATCATTTATTTATTATATTTTTTAAATAATATGTTCTTGTTAATTTTTTTATTTTTATTTTTATTTTACATACATATATTTGTGTTTTTTTTTATTTTTATTTTACATACATATATTTGTGTTTTTTTTATTAATATGTATAAATATATATTATATAAGATATAAGATAATATATACTTATATATATTACATAAGATATAGGTAAAATTATTTTATACTTATATGTATATATATATACTAATATATATACATATTAAGATAGGAACCAAACAGAGGCTAGATAAGACAGAGAGAAGCCGAGAGAGAGAGAGAGAGAAGAGAGAAGCGAGAGGCGAAGGTGAAGGCGAGAGAGATAGAGAGAGCAATCGAAGTCGAAGGGAGGTCAAGTCATCGAAGTTGAGAAGATGAAGTTGACGGGAGGTCGTCGAAATCGAGAAGAAGAAGTCGGTGAAGTCGAAGGAAGGCCATCGAAGTTGTCACTGACCAAGTTTGTTCTCCTTTACTCTTCTCTTTCCTCTGTTCTCCTTTACTCTTCTGCTCTTTTGTGTACTCTTCTCGCTGCCGTGTCCAAATTTCGTGTCCAGCCGTTAGATCAAATTCAAAGAAAAAAAAAAAAGCCCCTCAGGCTCGCACCTTGCGCCTTGCTGCACCTGGTTTAAATCGCATCCAAGGCGCGCAACTCTTTAAACACGCCTCACCTGGGTCCCCTTCAGGCACAATGGGTGGGCCTCGTTGTGCCTTGCGCCTAGGCGCATTTTTCACAACACTGCTAACACCCACCATATTATATCTCGGAGCACTCTATCGTATGCTTTCTCAAGGTCGATAAACACCATATGAATGTGTCTTTTCTTTTCTCTATACTTTTCTATTACTCTCCTCAAAAGATAAATCGCTTCCATTGTTGACCTACCAGGCATAAACCCAAATTGATTCTCTGACATCTCTGTTATATCTCACAATCGTCGTTCCATCACCCTCTCTCACACTTTCATTATATGACACATTAGCTTGATTCCTCTATAGTTGTTGCAATTCTGGATATCTCCTTTATTCTTATAAATTGGCACTAAAATACTCTTTCTCCACTCATCTGGCATGTTCCTAGTCAACAAAATTTTACCAAACAACCTAGCCAATCAAGCAACCCTCTTTTTGCCCAAACACTTTCAAGCTTCAATAGGGATATCATCGGGTCCTAAAACCTTATTTGATTTCATCTTCTTAAGTGCAATCTCCACTTCAAAGTACCTAATTCTGCGATAAAACCTATAGTCTTGGTTTCTCATATTACTGGTTATTTCTTCCCCCACTGTCGTACTTCCATGTTCCTTATTTAATAATTCTTCCATCTTTTCTTAATCTCTTCATTTTCACTAATACCTTAGAATCCTCACTCTTGATGCACTTAACTTGATTAAAATCTCTTGTACTCTCCCGTATCTTAGCAAGTTTGTATACCCTCTTCTCTCCCTCCTTACTATCCAGTCCACTGTATAGGTCATCATAAGCTTTCAACTTAGCATTTTTCACTACTTTTTTGACCTCCTTATCAGCCAATCTATAGCTCTTAAGGTTTTCCTCAGTTCTACCCTTCTGCCACTTTTTAAAGCACTCTTTTTTTGCCTTAATTACCGCTTGAACCTCTTCCCTCCACCACCGAGTTTCCCTAGAGCTGGGTCCGTCTCTTTCGACTCTCCAAACACTTCCCTTGAGATTCTCCTCATACAATTGGCCATCGAGTTCCACATAGTATTAACATCATCTTCCAAGTCCTAAGTACCTTCCTTGTCCATTCTATTCTTAAATATTTCTAGTTTATCACATTTTAGGACCCACCCACCATCTCGTCCTACGACGCCCACCATCCTTTCTAACTTGGTACTATCCTCTAAAACCTAAATCTAGTACCAAAATCCTATGTTGAGAAGCCAGGCTCTCTCCAGGAATCACCTTACAATCATTGCATTTTAGGCGGTCCACTTTTCTCACTAAGAAGTAATCTATTTGCCTCTTAACTAACCTACTCTTAAAGGTTATCAAATGCTCCTCCCTCTTCTTATACATAGTATTGACCACCATTAGGTCAGAAGCCAACGCAAAATCTAAGATACTCTCTCCAGCCTCATTTCTATCATCAAAATCGTATCCACCATTTATCTATACCTACATGGCCATTAATATCTCCACCTATAACCAGATTCTCTCCTACGGGTATCTCTTGTAAGATCTTATCCATTTGCTCTCAAAAATCCCTCTTAGTCTGATCATATTATCCTACTTGAGGGGCAAATGCACTAATAATGTTCACTATATTCCTTCCAATAACTAGTTTAACTAACATAATCATATCCTCTTTCCTAATAACCGCCCATAAATTTTTTGGAAAAGTGTCCTCAATGCAATGTTGCCAGTACTGCATTATGAACACTTTCTAGTGGGATTTTTCAGTGAATATAGTATTACTATTTTGCTTTTAAAGCATTATAATACTAATGAACAAAGGTGGTCTGCAAGTTTTTCAGGGATGTGGTGCATCAGTGCTATTAGACGACACGCCGAGTTTCGTTGGTGAAAAAACTGCAACACCAAACTTGAATTCTCTAAGAGGGTTTGAAGTGATTGATGGGATAAAATCTGATCTCGAATCTATTTGTCCTCCTAAGACGGTCTCTTGTGCTGATATACTTGCTACTGTAGCCAGGGACTCGGTTACTCTGGTATGTGATGTCAGCAATTTCCACTCTCCTCCTGAGGAATGTGAACTTGCTGTGTGGTGTAATGTGGAGTAGGACTTCCATTACTTCAAATATTTGTGCTCTATATATGCACTAATCAATATGCAGTGACCAAATTCCAATTTAATCATGTCTTAACTGAAAAAATTTGCAGTCAGGTGGGCCAGGTTGGGAAGTCCAGATGGGAAGGAGGGAGGGACAGCTTGACTGCTAGCATAACAGCAGCAAACAAAGACATTCCGGAACCTAATTCTAGCATGGCCACACTAGTGACCAAGTTCCAAAATGTTGACCTCACACTTAATGACATGGTCACACTCTCAGGTAAACATAATTTCATTGCAAGTAAATGTTTGGTTTCCAAAAGAACAACTCTCTTACTTCATTTGGGCAGGGGCACACACGATGGGAAAAGCTCGTTGCTCGACATTCAGCTCTAGGCTGAATGTTAATAGCAACTCAAATAACCCAGATATAAACACCGACTTCCTGCAGTCACTCCAGCAGTTATGCTCAGAATCAAACAGCGACACAACACTAGCACATCTTGATCTTGTGACCCCATCAACATTTGATAACCAGTACTATGTTAACCTAATTTCTGGGGAGGGATTGTTCGCCTCCGACCAGATCCTTGTCACTGGAGATGATTAGACACAGGAAATTGTTGAATCTTATGCAAATAATCCGGCAATCTTTTTTGAGGAATTTAAGAAGTCTATGCTGAAAATGGGAAACTTGGGACCTTTGACTGGAGAAGATGGTGAAACCGCAAAAACTGTAGGTCTATCAATCAAGTTTAGCTCTTCGACAACACCTACATGTAATGGCTCTGTTGTTTGGCTGATAAGATTTGGAAGCTTTCTGTAGTAGCCGGTCATGTAACTGAACTACACTAGCAATGTCAACATAAGTTGTGTGTGAACTTTCTAGGATAATGTTATAAGTTACAAATTCTCTGTGAGCAATCTATGATTATGTTATAACTTGCAAGTTCTCTGTGAGCATTCTATAGCCTACAACAAGTTATTGCATTATAAACCAAAAAATTAAGATTGCGTAAACTTGTAAAACCCAACTTAATAATATCCAAGACCAAGAATAAAATGAAGACAAGAAAGACCTCCACTAATAAGAGTTTTTCCAGGCCATATGAAGAGCAATGCTGCGTCGTCCAAATTTTGGCTTGCTCAAATCGTCTGAATTTTGGCTTGTCGGTCGTCTAGCAAGAAGGTGACAGCCGCGGTTGACAAGTGTGGCACCGGTCATCAAGGTGCTCATCCGGGCGATCGAGCAACAAGCACAAAGTCGGATTTTTGAGCAAACTCAAATTCGAGCTACCAATCATTTTTGATGAATAAAAACCTTCTATACTGTCGACAAGAATTTGGTAATAGCCAACTCTAAATTCTAGCTCTTTGGGAGCTTAATTAATCCCAAAACAGTAGGCTCTACCACAGTGACAGTATGTTGAGTAGAGCAAAAACTAAATATCCAAGAATTCAAAAGCCTAAATTTGAGGACTTAGAGCATCTCCAACAGTGCATCAAAATTTTCACCAAATTTGAGTAAAAGGTCTATTTGATATCAAGTGCTCCAATAGAGATTTTTGAAGCTCCATTAGAACACCGGTCGACTAGACGGATGTCCATCTGGTCGACTAGTCAATGTAAATTTTGTACAAATTTCTGCTTTGAGGTGGTCATCCGGAGGGTCGACCAGGCAAACGATCGGGCGGATGTATGGCCAGTCGACTGGCCAATGTAAATTTTTCACAAATTTTTGCCTTGAGATGGTCATCCGGTGGTGAAAATCTAACGATTATGAACAGTGATTTGATAAAAGGCACATCTATCCTCAATTAGATGAAAGATTTGAGAAGTCTTAGATTTGATGAAAGATTTAGTGAACATTGAAGTAGTAAAAAGGAAGTTTTTTCATCAAATTTAAATTTGATGAACCATTGGATGGTCTTACAAGTTGTAAAATATACAATACAAAAAACAGACTCAAATTTAAGCCAACAAAGCCCTATACCCACCACAATTGTGCCAAACCAAAACAAGTGGCATTTCGTTGTGTTAAACCCTAAATGCAAAATTGATCACATGTATATATGTATGAATGTATGTATGGAGGTAAAAAAAACAGTAAATTTTGAATTCTATAATGAGACCCAAGTTGGAAGCAAACTAATCCTCAATTAAGGGTATTCATAAGACGATAGCCAAAATAATAAGAATAGAAGTAAGAACATACATAGAATTTATAGGCAAGATGGGGCTTCTCCGATACGATTAGCCTCAAACCTCGGAGTGGCGGACGGCTTCAAGAGGTCGCCTTTGAGGTCATCTTCATACGATACCATATACATATATACATATACACACTGCATTAGTGCACTTTTCACTTCAGTTGAGAAGACTTGACAGTAACCAACCACCAAGAACAACAAACAACATCCAACTCAGTGCCCGCCGGATATAAGTTGGGCGGAGTTGAGTTTGGGCCGGACTTTTAACCCGATAATAAAAATAACTCTAATTTTAGATCTATATTTAAAATTTTCTTCGTCTAAGAATAAAAACGAAGAATTTTCTTTCTCTATCTTCTTCTGTACAATAATATAATATAAAACACCATTAATTTATTTATCCTCTCTCTCTCTCTCTCTATGTATGTCTCATCAATTTCTCTCTCAATCTCTCTCTCTCTCTCTCGCGCATCTCATCTCATCTCATGTCATCATGTGGAGGAGAGACCTCGCTGTGATGATCCGTGGCATTATCCGATTTCGATTGAACAATACCAGGGTTGAAATTACTGCAAGAAATCTGATCTCGTTGTTGAATTGGAATCAAATGATCGGCCGAAACGGATCTACCGAACAATCATGGTTCTCATCCTCTTCCTCCTCTCTCTCTGTCGCCGCCACAAATCCAACCTCAGTCCGCCAATCTCGAAGTAAATCCAGGAGATCGTCCACGATCACCGCCCAATCCAAATCGACATGGGGAAGGTTGAGCCTCAAGCAGCTGCTGCAGGGCTCCAATCTCAATGACTTCCACGCCAATGTTGTTCCGCCTGTCCCCACAACCTTACTTCTAATCTTCCATGGTTATGGAGTCCTTCAAGCGCTGGGATCATTCTTGTCTTTACTAGGTAAGGTAACTTTGCATCTATATTTCTATTCTATATATATAAAGCAAAGGGGTTTAACCTGCATGGCTGTGGGAGTTTTAGTTGCGTTTTGTAAAATTTTGTAAATATAATTTGAAGGTATGTGTTGTATTTTGATTCTGTGAATTGTAGAATTATGATTTGAGTGTAGAAAATTTGTTTGGTTATAGTTGTTTAATAGAGTGTTGAATTGAGTTTTCAATTGAATATGGAATTGAGTTTTAAAAATTTGATTTGACATATGAAGTAAGAAAATTTGTTTCGTTATGAATTTTGAAAAGAGTTTTTAAAACTTAATTCAAATTATTATAACTCATAATAAAATAAACTACTTTCACACTATTAAAAATTCTGATCAACACTCCTAACCAAACTCTTTTTGAAATTTAATTAAAATAATTTATTATTTACAGAAAATAACATTAATCAATTTTTTAATTAAAAATACTATAAAAAAAAAATTTCAAAATAAATATTCAAAAAACTTAAATCATAAATATTTAAATAATTTAAATAATTTAATAAGTAAAAAATTAAAATAAATATTCAAAAAATTTAAATCGTAAAAATTTAAATGCAAAACAATGACTGGACAATATGACTGTGTTTGGGTTGTCATAAAATAAAAATGTTTTTCTAATTAAACCCATACCCTGATCAACTCTGAAGCTACCCAGTAATTTTTATTCTCAATCCTGTGCTTTATATATGGGGTCATGCTATGGGCTGTCATTAAGGTGAAGAAAATGCCATTATAGTTAGAATTTCAATGCACTTTTCATATATTTTCACAAATTTTTACATATTTTTATACACTTTTTCAGTACACCTTTTACACCTATATCAAAGCTAATGACCACCCAATGAGCGGTCATTAGCATTTTCCTTTTATATATATATATATAATATAAGAAAATGGAGGTTTCTAACTCACAAGCTTTGTGAGAGCATCAATATATCAATCTTAATTTTCTAATTTTTTTTTTTTAAAAAAAAGTTAATCTCAACATTTATTAACTTCTCTCAACCCATAAGACTTTTTGATTTTTCTCATAATTATATCTTTTCCAAAACAAATAATTTGTATATTAAAAAAATTTAAAATAAATATAAATATCTTTATCTATGTCTATCTATAACCTACAAGACTTTTTGATTTCTCTTATAATTACTGTAGTACCTTTTTCAAAATAAATAATTTATATATTAAAAAAAATTTAAAACAAATATAAATAGGGCAAATTACAAAACCCCCTCGAGATTTGTTGAAAATACAGATTTTCCCCTGAAGTTTGAAAAATTATATCCCGTCCCCTGAGATTTATATTTTCATAATAAATTGCCCCCTGAGATTTTTATTTTTATACAGATTCCCCCCTAATTTTTCCTAATTTGTTATGAAAATTTGACCCTCAGGGGGTAATTTGTAATTTCTCAAACCTCAGGGGAAATCTGTATTTTTATCAAATCTCGAGGGGGTATTTGTAATTTGCTTTTATCAAATCTCGAGGGGTGTTTGTAATTTGCCCATATAAATATCTATATCTATATATATATATATCTCTAACCCATAAGTTTTGTGAGAGTTCGAACCTTAATTTCTTAATTTTTTTGATTTTTTTTATAAAAAAAAACTTAACACTTATTAAATTCTTTTACGTCTTTTCAACTTCTCAAATACACACATTTTTTTTAACTTTTCACATGCCTATTGCAAACAGTGAGTCTCTTTCTTGTTTTCTCATTTTTGACTTCTCCATTCTATACTTTCAACTTCAGTGACCACGTATACAAACAGTAAGTCTTCTTTTTGTTTTCTCCTTTTTGACTTTTCCTTTTACTTACTGTTTTAATATTGCAGTTAGATATCGCATAAAAATATTTGTGATTTGTCTAGCAAATAAAAAATTATAATTTGATTTTTTTAATATGATTGAAGTAAGATAAATATAAACTCTCAAAAAAAAATGTGATTATAATTAGTTGAATGATTCTTTTTTTTTAATGTGATTGTAGTTAGTTTAATAGTTCTTTTTTTTCATTTATTTATTTTATTATGTGAAAAATGTGATGTGATTGTAGTTTGTTCAATGGCTCTTTTTTTAATATGATTGTTGTAGTTAATTCAATGATTTTTTTTAATGTTATTTAATCTTTTTCTTTACTATTTTAATTTTATTTTTAATATGATTGAAGTTAGATGAACATAAACACTCATAAAGAAAAAAAATGTGATTGTAGTTAGTTCAATTGTTCTTTTTTTTTAATATGATTGTAGTTAGTCAATGGTTCTTTTTTTCATTTATTTTTTTTTTTTATTATGGGAAAAATATGATGTGATTGTAGCTTGTTCAATGGTTCCTTTTTTTAATGTGATTTAATCTTTTATTTACTGTTTTAATGATTTTTCTTTACAATTATTTATGAAAAAAATATGATTGTATTTAGATAACATAAAAATATTTGTGATTTGATTTGATTTTTTTTCTAATTTGATTTTTCAAGTACCAATTATTGATAATGATTAGATTGTATTTTGAAAAAAAAAATTGTAATTGATTTTTTTAACTCACTGTGTTTTTTGAAAAAAAATTATTGTATTTTTTTAACTATCAATTCATTTAATTTGTGATTTGATTTTTAACTCACTCTGTTTTTTGAAAAACAAAATGGATTGTACTCATTAGGATCACATAATGTACCAATTATTGATGATAATTAGATTGTATTTTGACCCAAAAAAATTGTAATTAATCTTTTTAACTCATTATGTTTTTTAAAAAATAAATTATTGTGTTTTTTAATTATTAATTGACTTAATTTGTGATTGATTTTTTTAATTATTGATGATAATTAGATAGCATTAAAAAATTTGTGATTTGTATTATTGAAGTTATCTTTTTTTGTTTATAATTTTATTTTTTAATATGATTGAACTTAGATAAACATAAACACTCACAAAAAGAAAAATTTGATTGTAATTTATTCAATGGTTCTAAATAATTTTTTTTATTTACTACTTTGATGGTTATTTTTTTCAATTATTTTTTCTATTATGACAAAAATGTCATTGTAGTTAAATAGCATTAAAAAAATTGTGATTTGTATGATTGAAGTTATCTCTTTTTGTTTATAATTTATTTTTTAATATGATTGAAGTTAACTCACAAAAAGAAAAATGTGATTGTAATTTGTTCAACGGCTCTAAATAATTTTTTTATTTATTATTTTAATGGGTTTTTTTTATTATGAGAAAAATATGATTGTAATTAGATAGCATTAAAAAAATTGTGATTTGTATGATTGAAGTTATCTTCTTTTGTTTATAATTTGATTTTTTTAATATGATTGAAATTAGATAAACATAAACACTCACAAAAAGAAAAATGTGATTGTAGTTTGTTCAATACTTCTAAATAATCTTTTTATTTACTATTTTAATGGTTCTTTTTTTTAATTATTTTTTTTATTATGAGAAAAATGTTATTATAGTTAGATAGCATTAAAAAAAATGTGATTTGTATGATTGAAGTTATCTCATTTTGTTTATAATTTGATTTTTTAATATGATTGAAATTAACTCACAAAAAGAAAAATGTGATTATACTTTGTTCAACGATTCTAAATAATATTTTTATTTACTATTTTAATGGTTCTTTTTTTTAATTATTTTTTTTATTATGAGAAAAATATGATTGTAGTTAGATAGCATTAAAAAAATTGTGATTTATATGATTGAAGTTATCTCTTTTTGTTTATAATTTGATTGTTTTAATATGATTGAAGTAAGATAAATATAAACACTCACAAAAAGAAAAATGTAATTGTAGTTTGTTGAATGGTTCTAAATAATCTTTTTATTTACTATTTTAATTATTCTTTTTTAAAAGTTATTTTTTTTATCATGAGAAAAATAGGATTGTAGTTCGATAGCATTAAAAAAATTATGATTTGTATGATTGAAGTTATCTCCTCTTGTTTATAATTTGATTTTTTAATATGATTGAAGTTAGATAAATATGAACACTCACAAAAAGAAAAAATGTGATTGTAGTTTGTTCAATGGCTCTAAATAATCTTTTTACTTACTATTTTAATTTTTTTTTTCAATTATTTATTTATTATGAGAAAAATGTGATTGTAATTAGATAGCATTAAAAAAAGTATGATTTGTATGATTGAAGTTATCTCATTTTGTTTATAATTTGATTTTTTAATATGATTGAAGTTAGATAATTGTAGTTTGTTCAATGGTTCTTTTTTTTAATATAATTTAATCTTTTTATTTTCTGTAGTTAGATAGCATAAAAATATTTGTGATTTGTATGATTGAAGTTATCTCCTTTTGTGATTTTTATTTGGTCTAACTAAAAAAAAATTATAATTTGATTTTTTAATATGATCAAAATTAGATAAACATAAACACTCACAAAAAAAAAATGTGATTGTAATTAGTTCAATATTTTTTTTTTAATGTGATTATAATTAATTTAATATTTTTTTTGAATTTAATTTCGTACATAATACTAGTTAATTAATTATCACAAAAGACATGATGAATAATGAAATGCTTTTCAGTGGGGTTGGTTGGTTGTTCAACGGGGAGAATTAATATCCTATCCAAAAAAAAAAAACATTAAGAGTGAAAAAATAATTATAAAATTATAAAAATAATTTATGTATTTAATTATATTTTTTTTTAAATTCAAAAATTAAAATTTAAAAATAATATATGATTGAAAAAATATAAAATAATAATTTCTTTTACATATGAATAAATAAATAATGCAAATTGCAGGAAAAAAAATAAATCTATTTATTTTAACCTAAAAAAATTCAAAAATAATAAACAAATTAGTTAAAATGATAAATTTTACATTGTTTATATAGTGAAGTTATCTAACATTAATAATGTCTTAATAATTTAAGGGTTTTATTTAATATTGTATGAAATTTATGAATTTTATTAAATAATGCTAAAATATGTATGAATTTTTGATAATATATATGCAAAACCTCAGGAGAGGTAAGTGTAATTTGCCCATATTGATAATGAGGTAAGCGTAATTTGCCCATATTGATAATGAATGAGGCTTCTTGGTTCATGAATATTTTTGCCTTCTCACATGCAAATCAAAGGGTAATATGGTAATTTTTATTTCCAAGTAATGTCATTTTTACAAACTTAACAGATTGAAGAGATCTTGATAATAGTTTTAAAAATACGAGAAATTAGTGCAATTATTAAAAATATAGAAGAGATTTCTATAATTATCAAAGGCCTGAAGAGAGTTAAGTGTAATTTACTCTACAAATAATCCATTATGATATTATCATTACTATTAGCATGAGATCATGAAGCATTGCCATTTAAAAATTTATTTTGAGTAAAATGTCAGCCAAATTCCCACACCACCCTACGTACCATCCAATCTAAATTAGTCTCGACTTTTTTATGGTTGTGACGTTTAATTATATGTATTCTATGTAATAATGTCTCCTCCAATGAATTTCATTAGTTTAGCATTTTTCTTCCACTAATCGAATTGCTTAAGAATGCGTTAGGGGATGTCATTTTTAGGAGAGTTGGAAAATATGTTGGACATTAATGGCATCGGCAAGTGAGGGAAGAGGTTCATTGACCTCTGACTGTATTCCCACTTTTGGACTTCCTTCTGTCTAATAAGTCTACAATTAGACTATTAACTCAACTGACCGACCAACCAACCAACCACTCACTCGCCACCAACCCCATTTTAATTTGCTATCTGATGCCATTTCCACTTCCCATTTTTTCTTTGCTTTGTGATTTTCTCTCTTAGTTGGTTCATTAACCTTCTCAACTAGATGTTACTGCAGTGCTATGTCAGTTGGAATGTTTTTAACTTGCCGGAGTATAATAATTGGTATAATAGCTAGATATGGGGTGAACCACCAAGTTATACCATGTCTTTATGTGTGTGACACATATTGACCATGAAAGCCACTCCACAATTTCTTTTCATTACTTATTATTACTATTAGTAACATATATATATATATATATATATTTCTTTTCATTTCCGTATGGTTTGCATGATATGCCTTTCTTTCGAGTGAGTGTAACATATCGATCATCTTTGTTATAATCATTTATATTCATTCATGCATGCTTCTCAGCTTATCCTCCCTGAGGACCTCTTTCGAGGTCATTGCTTGATTCCCAAGTAGTAATTAAATAGTAGACTTTGTAGTACATTATTATATTCAAGAATATGTCATTCTCATCAACGTGCTAGCTATTGTCCAACCGACCAAACAAGTAAATATAACATGCCTTTTTTGCGTGCATTATAACTTGGCATCCATTCTCATATTCGATAGAGTCTGCCACACACCTAATTAAAATATGATTTGGGCATCTATTCTACTTTTTGATAGAGCCATTTTCAAGGTCACACACGACTTAAATTGACCAGTTTTATATGACAAACATGTTATTGTCTGGTGTTAGAAATTCTTACTAGTAAGTCAGAGAGAGAACATAACAATCCAAGCAGAAATCCTATCCTTAATTAAAAATCCCAAAGATCCCTATACCAGGACGACTCCATAAAAGCCTAAAGTATGCGTGAAAGAAATTTTTTTACTATTTACTCATGTTATCTCTAATCACATTTTCTATGAATTTGATGTCGGATGGTCTTTGGAGGACGACACAATGGCCTCAGACTTTTCATCTTGCAAGGCATCCGTACAATCGTTTTTTAATGAAGCTAAATTGAAAGCAATTGACAGTAAGGCTTCATTTAGAAACAAATTATTTTAGTAATTTTTTAGTTGTTTGGCTAAAATTAATATGAGGTAAAAAAAAATTAGTAGGTTTAGAATGATTTTCTGAATTTTTACAAAAAGATGTGCAAAAAGTAGAGAGAAAATAGAATCTTTGACTTTTTAGTATAAGTTGTTGGCTTTTTAGGTTTTTTAATGACTTTTTGAGTTTTAGACTAAAATATTGAGTTGCCAAACGAGGCCTAAGGATTAAAGTTATTATGATTATAATTCAAACAGATACCAAAGAACAAAATTGAACAGAGTGATTTCATGTGATTGTGATCCTCCATTATATTATCTAACGGTAAGTGTAATGATATATTCTTAATTTAAAATAATTATAAATTTTCATTCCTATTTTACAATCACTAAACATGTAATGGAGAGCATCAAAGTCTGGTTTTATGATTTCTTTTTTTCCACGTTAAAATTTGAAGGAGCCGTGAATTACCAGAACACTTCCACCATATTTATCAGTAGGCAACAAAATTCTTACACTTATAATTGAAAAGTGCTATAAATATATGTAGTGGGGCTGCAATGTGGGATATAAACAGAGAAATTGATCCTCCAACCAACAACATACATTGCAAAAGTTGTGGATTCAGCTACGCACTTCCTTCGTTCAAAAAAAAAAACAAAAAGGCTACCCACTAAAAAGGCCTAGATATGAAAATTAATGGAATCATTGATCAAGGACCTTTTTTTTTTAACTTATAAATAGGCACTTTGGGTTTCAGGCAACATAAAACATTCCTTCAACTCCCTCCCACAGCACTCCATGTCTGTTATTCTTTGCCATCCCCAGTGATCCATCTATTCCTGCTTTTCCTGCTTTCGTCCATCACCAACGATGCCTCCTATCAACCATGCTAATCCATCTCCATAAAAATCCCTCTCTTCTCCTCTCCAAATGCTTCTGTGTGTGTGTGTGAGTGTGTGTAGGCATCACCAAATTTGGATCGCCTGTCTAAAATTGAGGATTAAGTTGACAAGCATCTTAATTTGTAAGAAAAACTACAATAGGCATACTTTTGAATAAAACTACTAGCATATGCATCGATACAGTCATATGTCATACTATTTAAAATGTGGAACAGGCTCAAATTAAATCAGAACATACTACTCTCTCTCACAAAAGAAGATAACAAAATCCATGCATGTTCTCTAACACAAATTACTAATACATGTTGAATTATTTGTTATTACCGTTGTACTAATGTCTTGTGTATGGATTTGTATTTGAAGGGAAAACAAACTCTAGCTAGCTAGCATATATATATATGGTTTCAGAAATGATGCAGAGAATATGGGAGGTGCTAGTGTTTTTAATCTTAGCCACTTTCACCAAGTCAGGATGCACAAGGCTGCCTTACTCGAGACCAAGCGACCCACTGGATGGCAGTGCAAGCTATTGTCTGAGCTGGAGGCTGGGCGTGGAGGCAAACAACGTAGGTGCATGGCGCACTGTGCCAACTCAGTGCTTGCAATACATCGAGAATTACATGACTGGCAGCCAATACCACCATGATCTCAATTTCATCGTGGAACAGATCACTAGTTATGTCAATGCTATAGATCTCTCTGCTGATGGCTTGGATGCTTGGATCTTTGACGTTGATGACACTTGCATCTCCAATCTCTTTTACTATCGAGAAAAGCGATTCGGGTAGGTAATCTAATTACTCACCACACTCATTTTTCTATGGGGAAAAAAAATAAAAAATTTAATGGGTATATTACACCATTGGTACTTGCAACTAAAAAAATCTGAATAAGTGATCGAGTTTGGGGACCAACAATATAGTTAGTTAACCCTCCATTGTACATAATATATATGTAGGTGTGATCCATATGATCCAGAGGCATTTAAGGCGTGGGCACTGAGAGGAGGGTGCACAGCGATACCTGCAGTTTTAAAATTGTTTAACAAATTGATAGAAAGCGGATTTAAGGTGTTCCTTGTTACGGGTAGAGATGAAGCTACTCTTGGCCAAGCTACCATTGACAATTTGCAGAATCAGGGATTCATTGGTTATGAAAGATTGATTTTGAGGTACAATACATCTATATACATGCATTATTGTGGTGCAAAATATATATACACACAATGGCTTTTGTAAATATTATTAATATCACAAATTCTAGTGGAGTACACATTCAATATGAAAGCCGCTTCATGATGTGCTAGCTATATTAATGAATCCGATTCTAGCTATTATGTATCCATGCAATGATCTAGCTATTATTCAAGAATTTCACAAGTATACAATAATACATGTTAATTTCCATTGGCTTTTGGCATTGGAAATGACAGAACTAGGGCGTACAAGGGGCAAAGCGCAGTGGTATACAAGTCTGAAATTCGAAAGCAATTGGAAGGAGAAGGTTATAGGATATGGGGGAATGTGGGAGACCAGTGGAGTGACCTTCAAGGGGATTGTATCGGCAATCGAACTTTCAAACTTCCCAATCCCATGTATTTTGTTCCTTGATTCACAGCAATAAACAAACGCACAAATAATAACAACAACAATACAAAAATTCAATGTATAGTTCAAAGCATTTATTTTTCTTTTCATGTAGTTTATTCCTTTCCTTGATTAATCCAAGGAATCAACAACCAATTGTGCAAATATTGTCTCTTGCATTGCATGGATTGTGTACAATAAATCTAGAGACATGAAAAGATGGACTTGAAATTTGCAATGAAAATACATTTAGCTATGGTTTTTTTTTTTAAATTAAATAGTGACGTGGGCCTCACTAGACTTAGCCATCTGCATGTTTGAATGACAAAAATTGTGATCACTTTTTGTGGACTAAAACTCTGGGATTGTATAACGGGGATTTTTTTTTATTATTATTATTATTTTTTTTAGATCGGAACGGGGATTGGACATCTTATTGTTTTGTTTCATTATTTTGGTGGTCATATAAGTACAAGTACGTCTTTAATTGGTTCAAATCGTCTTTAATTATTATCGTAAAAAATGAACCTCGAACCCTCAACTCTGAATAATGTAGACTTAAAAACAACACTAATAGTAATACTCTGTGTGGTAGCTTTGATACTTTTTTTTCTTTTTCCTTTTTTTCTTTTTTTTTAATTTAAATTATATCTTGGGGGCTGTCACCGGCCCAGCGCAATAAATCTTTGATATCGGGGTTTCTATTTACATCAAAAAAAGAAAAAAGAAAAGAAAGAAGTAGGCTTAATTAAAGTATTAAAATTTTAATTTTTATTATATTTTAATGTAAATTTATTAATAAGGACAACACATATTAAATTTTAAAATAAAATATATTTTTTTATGATACACTCTAATCACATATATGTATTCTTTATTTTCTTTTTTAAGTTTCAATTATTTTCTCTTCGCTTTCTTCTTCTTCCTCCTTACTATAGAACTCCAAATTACTCTACCAAAATTCACCATTATCATCAACATCAATTGTTTCTTATCCTTGCGGATAAAAGAAAATTTGAACAAAATCAAATAATTGACGAGAATAATAATGAAACCCATTTTTTTAAGTAACTCATCAAAGAGGGGGAAAGTATTCACATAAATATCAAAGTATAATTCTTGATTTTTGTTTTTTTTTTAAATGTAAAAATAAATATTCAGCATGTTTAATCTCATTACTGTTTGGACTTTTAGATCTGAGCAAATTTACTTTACTACCGAACAAAGTAAATATATTCAAATATGAAAGTCTAAACCAAACAATATTATTCGATATTATAAATCTGAACATAGTGGCTTTATTTTTATTTGAATGTACCTTAAAAAGTAATTTAAGAAAAATTATAAACTATACTAAAAATAACATAAAATTTTAAATAATTGAGTAGAATATACTGAGAAATTGAAAGTATAATATATATGTAGGGGAAATTATTCAATACTCTCGGAACACAATGTGTCCATACTCCAAACTAATCACGAATTAGTTAGCCCTATATTGTTCCATCATCTCCAACATAAATCGTAGGCCCTTATGTCTCTTCACCAATCAAAATCTTATAGAATATCGCGTGTCCATATTCCGATAGTACTGAATAATCGCCCATATATGTAGATAAAATCCCCTTTGATATCGTTGTTGGCATTGGGCCAAAACGCGCGCGCGCGCGCACACACAAAACATAAGTTTGGGACAAACTGCAACTGCAAGGGAGAGGATGGCCCACACGTGCGAGTGACAGTTCGATAATCAGAACGAGATTCGCTAGGAATTTGGATCGCTCCTATTCCCATTCAAAACCGGAAACTTCGTGTAGTCGCGAAGAAGACGAAACGAGAGTGAGAGAGAGAGATAGAGAGAGAGAGAGAGGTTGCTACAAAAAGAAGAAGTAACACAAACAAACAAGCAAACAAACCAGTGCAACATCCGACTCTCGCTGCTCCGATCAACCGAACCAATCCTTTGTTTTTCGACTGACAAAGATAAAGAAAAAAGATGAACGATGCCGATGTATCGAAGCAGATACAGCAGATGGTCCGATTCATTCGTCAGGAGGCTGAAGAGAAAGCTAACGAGATCTCTGTCTCTGCCGAGGAGGTCTTTCTTCTTCTTCTTCTTTTCTTTTTTATTTATTTATTTTCTTCTCTTCTTCATACCTACACAACACTATGATATAAAAACATTCTTCGTTTCTTTTTGTAATCTATTTATATTTTCATTTTAGAAAGATAATCATTATTAATTATAGAATTGAGCCTCCGTCTGTTGTTTGTTACCTGATTCATCATGATCAAAGCTCTTTGTGTTATTAATCACCAATTATGGGACACAATATATTTGTAGCTTCAGTTTATACTCTATGCTTCTCTGTTTAATTATTTGAATCACAATGTAGCAATGAAACTTTCCAATTTAGAAACAAATAATTGATAGCTTGTAATTCTGTTGCATTTATTAATGATCATTTCAACAATCAGTTTCTCCCATATTCATATCTATGCTACCTAGTACCATCATAATATCACCCAATTTCATTCATTTAACTAATTCAGGAAGAAAGCAATTGTTGGTTGTATTTATTCCGAAGTTATTTTTTTTTTGTTGTGGGTGTCAGGGGTTACGTTAGAACTTTAAAGCCTACTTCTTTTTTACTTTTATTTCATTTAGATGATCTAATTGATTAACAAGTGAACTTAATTATTATACACACACAAACATATTCAATTCTGGTCATTGTGGTGATATTTCTTATTACGTAATTAGTCTTTGTGTTCATGACAAGATCATGATTCCTTGTATCTCTCTCTCTCTCTCTCTAATAATCATTCTAAAGTTTTTGTTTAGATCATTTTGTATAAAACTGTTGAGCATCTACACTACAATGAATAGTTGATAGGTTTTCTGAATTTATCTAAATTATTTCAGTATACTTATTGATCATCTTGTAAGTTTAGAGAAGAGAAAGAGTTAGGAAATGAGTTAGACTTTATTTCCTTTTATATTGATAATTGAGCAATTACCAGCATAATTCTGAGCAACTAAAAAGGAATAAGAATACTTCATATTCTAATATTTCCTATTCTAACAATTTCCTATTCTAATACTCTCCCTCAAGCTGGTGCGAAGATTTCTCTCATGTTCAGCTTGTTGAGAATGCTATAAAAGGGTTTGCTCCCTAGTCCTTTGGTGAGAACATCAGTTAGTTGGTCCCCAGTCTTCACAAATTGAATACATATGGTGCCACTAGTGAATTTTTCCTTGATGAAGTGTCTATCAATCTCCACATGCTTAGTTCTATCATGATGTAGTAAATTATGAGCTATGTTGATTGCGGCCTTGTTGTCACAAGATAGTCACATGGAGTCAGTCTGATAAATTTTCAAGTCTCCTAACAATAGTTTAATCCATAGTAACTCACATACCCCCTAAGTCATAGCCCTGAATTCTTCCTTATCCGTAGCTCAAGCAACCACATTATATTTCTTACTTCGCCATTTGACTAGATTGCCGCCAACAAATGTGCAGTATCCAGAAGTGAATCATTTGTCAGTGACTGATCTTGCCCAATTTGCATCAATAAATGCTTCCATACTGAGATGGCCATGTTTTGAGAAGTAGAGGCCCTCTCCAGGAGAAAACTTCAGGTATCTCAAGATTCTCATAACTGCCTCTAAATGGGAAGTTCTAGGAGCATGCATAAACTGGCTAACCACGCTCATTGCAATGGCAATATCTGGAAGTGAGTGGGATAAGTATATAAGCTTACCCACTAGTCTCTGATGTCTCCCCTGTCCACTGGCTCTCCCTCTTGATCCTCACTTAGTTTCTGACCTGGTTCTAGAGATGTATCACATGGTCTATCTCCAAGCATCCCAGTTTCCTTTAGCAAGTCAAGTACATACTTTCTCTGACATATGAAGATACCATCTTTGAATCTAACTACTTCAATGCCTAAGAAATACTTCAAAGTGCCCAAGTCTTTGATTTCAAACTCCTTGACTAAGCATTCCTTCAACCGAGGGATCTCCTCAATGTCATCTCCTGTCACAACAATGTCATCAACATAAACAATAAAAGCTGTGATCTTACCATGTGAGGAGTATTTTACAAATAAGGTGTAATCCGCTTGACTTTGTTTGAACCCATATCTTAGCATAGCTTGAGCAAACCTTTCAAACCAAGCCCTAGGAAATTTTTTTAGCTCATAAAGTGACTTCCGGAGCCTGCATACTTTACCTTTGGACTTAGCATCTGCAAAATCAGGGGAAATATCCATATAGACCTCTTTTGTTAGGTCTCCGTGAAGGAAGGCATTCTTCACATCAAACTGATAAAGTGACCAATCCAAATTAGCTGAAAAAGAGAGTAGTATTCTCACAAAGTTCATCTTAGCCACTGGCGCAAATGTCTTCTAGTAATCTACTCCATAAGTCTGAGTGAAGCCCTTAGCAACTAGTCTTGCTTTGTACCGTTCTATGGAACCATCAGCTTTTTGTTTTACAGTGTACACCCACTTACACCCAACTGGATTTTTTCCTTTAAGTAACTCCATTAACTCCTAAGTGTCATTCTTGTTGAGAGCTCTCATCTCTTCCATCATGGCATGTTTCCATTCAAGAATAGAGAGAGCATCCTGAAAATTGGTAGGTAGACTCACAAAAGACACTTTAGACAGAAAGGCTTTACATAAGGAAGACAGATTAGAATAAGAGACATGATTACCAATAGGATGCTGAGTACATGACCTAATCCCCTTTCTATTAGCAATGGGAACATCAAGATCGGAACAATCAGGAATATAAGCACAAGAATCAGAAGTTCCTGGACTCTCATGAGAGTAGGGTGACTCTGGACACTCATCCAGAGAAGAAGTTGGTAGTAGAGGAGGGAAAGTAGGCTCTTGTATCCAAGTGACTTATTGTCTGTCCTTGTCCTTGATATAAACTTTGCCTGCGTCATTTTCCTCAACAACTGTTGGCTTATCATCCTCTATCTAGCCAACCACTGGTGGAAGGGGAACAGGAATCTCTTCACACCAAGGCGCCCCCTGAAAGGGGGACTGCAAGACCGGGGAGGATGGAAAGTAAGGCTAAGACTCAAAGAAAGTAACATCCATGGAGACAAACCATTTGCGAGTGGGTGGATGATAACACTTATAACCCTTTTGAGTGGCAGAATAACTCAGGAAAACACACTTAAGAGACCTAAGATCTAATTTACCATGAGTGGGTGAATGATTATGGACAAAATAAACACAGCCAAAGGTCTTAGGAGAATAGAGAATTCGGAAAAGGTGGATCCGAACAAAACTTGAAGAGGTGTCTGTTTTTGAAGGACTTAGGTAGAAAGACGATTAATTAAATAAACGGCAGTGAAAACCGTTTCCCTCCAATAACAACGAGGAACTCGCATCTCAAAGGATAGACAACGGGCCATATCGAGGAGATGGCGATTTCTTCGTTCGGCAACACCATTTTGTTGAGGGGTATTAGTGCATGAAGTTTGGTGTAAAATGCCATGAGTGGCGAAATAATTGGCAAGACCAGAGTCGATATATTCCCCCCATTATCAGAATGTAAAATCTGGACAACCACCCCAAACTGAGTACAAATCATTTTATAGAAGTTTTGAAACACAGAAAACACATCACTCTTATCTTTCATCAGATTGACCCAAGTGGCCCTGGAACAGTCATCAAGGAAAGTAACAAATCATTTTTGACCATTTAAAGACACAAAACGGGATGGACCCCATACATTAGAATGGATCAAAGCAAATGGAATTGAACTTTTATTAATAAATGGAGCAAAAGAGGCTCAGTGTTGTTTTCCAAGTTGACATGACTCACATTGAAAATCAGACACATTATTTTTCTCAAAAACAGAAGGAAATAAATACTTAAGTAATAAAAAAGAGAGATGTCCTAAGCAACGGTACCACAACCAAATGTCGTCCTTGGTGGATGGTAACTGGATAGATGAATGAGCCAGCTTGTCTGTTTGATCCAGAATGTAGAGACCATGTTCCTCACTACCACTAACAATCCTCTTCCTCGTGATAAGGTCCTGAAAACAACAATGATCAGGAAAAAAACGTCCCACTACAATTTAAATCACGAGTAATACGACTCAAAGATAAAAGATTAACACTAAAATTGGAAACGCGGAGTATAGAGGACAAAAGAAGGGAAGAGGTGGCATGAATTACCTTTCCTGACGCAGACGAAATAGTTCTATCAGCAATACACACTTTTTTCTGACCTGAGGAGGGGTTATACTCAGAAAATAAATTAGAAAAACTAGACATATGATCGGAAGCACCAGAATCAATAATCCATGGTACAGATATATGAGATAGTAATGCACATTGGGAGGTAGCCAAGTTACCTGAATTAGCAAAGGAAGAAGAAGGGGCACTTGTAGCAGAAGTGAAGGCTTGACGATCTAGCAAGTGGTGAAGAGCAATCTCAAAATCCGAGGCAGATAACCTCGAGACATCAGCAGTAAAGGAAACAACTGGAGATGCAGATGGTGGCTCAATAGTGTCTAACAGATGTGCCCGAGCATTGGCCCCACGGCCTCGAGACTGACCAGACCTACCCCCTCGAGTACCAAGACGGTCACCTCGGCCACCAGAGATGCAACTTCCAACAAGTCTCTCGTATGTGTGCTGAGGTCTATGGCAGTAGTCACAGAAAAGATTATCCTTCTTGAAGGAAGGACGAGAACCACAAGTATCGCGAGGGGGTACAGAAACCAAGGCTGAGCGATCAGTAACAGCAAAAGGAAGCATGGCAGAGTAGCAACTCTCCTCATTCTGCACAAAAGCAAAGGCTTCCTGGAGAGAATGAAGCACATCCATGCCAAGTACTCTACTCCGAACCGGATCATACTCCACATTTAGGCCTTTCAAGAACTTGAAGACCTGCTTTTGTGCCACAAACTTTCGGTAACCAGCAGAATCAGTGGGACAGACAGGCTTGTCATCCTGAAGGTGATCAAGTCGCTTCCACCCATTGCTAAGGAAGGTAAAATACTGGAGAATAGTCTGCTCACCTTGTACCCGACCTTTCAATGGAGCGACGTAACTCAAAAGCCTGTAAGAAGTTCCCCTTCCTGGAATAAGTAGTGGTTACGACCTCTAAAATATCCTGGGCAGTGTCCATAGACAAGTAGCCTTTTCCCATCTCCGGAACCATAGAATGGATCAACCAACCCATAATCAGAGAATTGGTAATCTCCCATTGGTTATAATGAGGATTGGTGATATTGGGTTCTGAACCCGCCCATCAACATATCATATCTTTTTTTTTCTATCAACAACAAAAGCTTTATTGATAAATAAGAATCAACATATCATATCTTCTCCTTACTCTTCAAGAAAATAGTCAGATTCTGCAACCACGCTACGTGATTCTGACCATTGAATAGAGAGGTGGTGATTTTAAGGCCAGTGTGGAGGTTATCAGTCATAGGGGAAGGGATAACAGAACTCTCGTCCTGAGATGACGGAGAGGTAGTAGATTTACTAGCCAAATCTACCATAGAGACTCTACTAATTATTTCTCAAATACGATACCAATCACAAACTCGAAAGATGAGAGTTGAGAGAAATAGTAAACACTATTATCATGAGAGTATCATACGAAAAAAGGACCATTTTTATTTTATTTTATTTTATTTTTTCGTTTTGTTGTTGTTTTTGTTTTAAACAATATCTAGGTGAAACCATTACAGAAGACAGAGAAGATCTGTCGGAAGGATGGCCGATAGTAGCCTAGGAGGCAGGAGAGAAGCCAACGGAGGCCAACAGGGCCAGTGGAGCTCCCGACAAGCCCTAGGGCTGCCGACTAAGCCTAATAGGCTGTTGGGAAGCCCAGGCAAACTGCCGAAGGCCTGGGCAAGGCTGTCAGATGTTTGATCTGGGTTGGGTGAGGGACGACAGTGGCTGTCGGAGGGTCTACAGTGGCCGACTAGACTGTTGGACTCAAGATAGGACTGCTGACAGAAGAGACAAAGTGTAAGGAGGGATGGGCTAGGATTTTTGGCTCTGATATCATGTAAGTTTAGAGAAAAGAAAGAGTCATGTAAGTTTAGAGAAGAGAAAGAGTTAGAGAATGAGTTAGACTTCATTCCCTTTTTTTTATATTGATAATTGAGCAATTACATGCATAATTTTGGGCAACTAAAAAGGAATAAGAATACTTCCTATTCTAACAATTTCTTATTCAAACACATCTTCTGTGCTTTTTGTTTTCAGGAATTCAACATTGAAAAATTGCAACTAGTTGAAGTTGAAAAGAAAAAAATCAGGCAAGAGTTTGACCGGAAATCAAAGCAGGTTGAAGTTCGTAAGAAAATGTGAGTTCTTTCTATGCATACTCTACCAGTCTACAACTGTATATCATGTTTCCCACCCAACCCCCTATCCATGCTTCTTTTTGGACCATGAGTTTTATGCTACCATGGAACATGAGTGAATTGCTTTACCTCTCTGAACTATTATTGATACATATATGATTGGGTGATTGAATCCCAAGTTATGGTTTGAGATAGAGTTAACCATATTCTACTAAAAACAGCTTGAGGTTGTGTCCACGTATCCTAAATAAGCTCAAGTTAACGTGACTCTGGCATGATCTCTATGGAACATGAGTGAATTGCTTGTTGGGATCTGGGATCCCGCCCAAGACCTTATAGAAATTATTCCATGCAGAAAAACACACCCACACTCAAGGAGACACAATATTAACGTGGTTCGGCCTCAATGCCTACGTCCACGGGAGAGTAGCCGGTTATCACTATAACAATGGAGATATTACAGAAAGATTGCAATAGAGGAGGAGCTCACACTCTCCTCACTCACCCACTCACCCGTCTCCCTCGCTCATACCGAGGGAGACGGTCTCTCCGCCTCACATATCTCACTCTCTGTGGCTTGCTCTGCTCTCTCTCTCTCTACTTGTTCTCCTCTCACCCATCTTCATTTATACACTTCAGAAGAGGTGGATGGAGGGGCTGGCCAGCACATGGCCAGCTTGTGCCAACTCCTTCTTCACGTGGCTAAAGGTTGGCTTCCTAACATGGCCAACTCATGTGTGTTGGCTTCACCCCTCACATGGGGTGATGATATCCCACATTTACCTCTCTGAACTATTATTGATACATATATGATTGGGTGATTGAATCCCAAGTTATGGTTTGAGATAGAGTTAACCATATTCTACTAAAAACAGCTTGAGGTTGTGTCCACGTATCCTAAATAAGCTCAAGTTAACGTGACTCTGGCATGTTCTCTAGTGCTCATGTGCCTCCATAACACCTGGATTAGACTTTGATATAATACTAGTAACGTAGTTTGTGTTGATTTCGTTGTTGGTGAATAAGAGTGATGTGTAGGACATGACATGATGACATTTCTTTATTAAACTTTTTTTCTTGAAATGCATCGGTTTGGGATTTTGGTGGCTAACAAAGCTTCTGCGTAGTGAGTACTCGATGCAGCTGAATGCATCCCGAATCAAAGTTCTTCAAGCACAAGATGATGTGGTGAATGAGATGAAAGATTCTGCCAGGAAGGAGCTTTTGGGTGTTGCAAATAACAGGAATGTATATAAAAAGCTTCTCAAAGGCTTGATTGTTCAGGTTCTCTCTGTTAATCTATTTAATGCGCTTTTTGGTAGGGAGTGGAAAAATAATATGAAACTAATTTGTTTCTTGCACAAAGTGATACATAGGTGTTTTTGACCTTCCATACTGACCCATTAGTCCAAAACAAATAGGCTAAAGTAGCCAAAAAGCTAAAAATTCACTACAAAAAAGTCAACTCTTCTCTCTATTTTCTTACAATTCTTTTTGTAAAAAGCCGAAAAGCTAACAAACATAGCCAATTCCCAAAACAACCCCTAGTCAGCATCATCTATGTTGTTCAAAGACAAATAACATGAGTACTTAAGCATGATCTTTTTTAAGCCCTTGACTGATTTCAGTGTTAATGTGTCCTTCCTTTCCACTGTTCATGGATTTTTGTTATCCCAGCCATGTCAGATACTGTGAGGAATTATCACATGTTCTGTCAGGAAAGCATTAATCAGTTCAACTTGCTTAAGTTGGTGGTACCTTTTTCTTCATGCCCATAATTCTATTTGTCCTTCCTAATTAATTTTCTTGCTTGTCACGGATATATGATCTTCCATACCAATTTCATTCAATTTCCATGGTGTATTTTTGTGCTTATTTACCTGTTCTGCAACCTATGTATATCCTTCACCTGCGTAATTCTGTTTGTGGGTCTGTAATTTTTTTGATTTAGTGACTTAATAATTTGCTTCTTGCAACATGTAGAGTTTACTGCGGTTGAAAGAGCCATCAGTCTTGTTGAGGTGCCGGGAGATTGATGTTGTGCTCATTGAGTCTGTTTTGGATGATGCAAAACATGAGTATATTGACAAAGCCGGAGTACATGCCCCTAAGATTACCATTGACAAACGTGTGTATCTCCCACCACCTCCAAGTAGTGAAGACTCACATGGCCCCTCTTGGTAATTATTGCTGCCTTCATCTGCAAAATTCCTGCAAGCTGTGGTTCTACTTCAGTCACTGGACCTATTGCGCTGTCTGGTGCATTGGGTCGTACTTTCATGATAAAAGCATCCTGTTATCGTAGCATTGAAGTGATAATATGTTGCTCCATATATATGATAACATCTTAGATCTTATTTACTGTTATCTGTTTGATTTCTTTGCTAGAGATGAGCCATTGCTTTCAAAAGCAATAATAAAAAAATGAATTAGTCCACTTCAACACCATATTACCTATACACAAAGTGCATGCTTGATACATCTGCACTGAGAAATGCCAAACTTTCTTTGCTGAATGTCTGATGAAAGATGGGATGGTTCAAGATCAGAGCATTCTGATTTGTTTTCAATTTTTCTGCTTCTCGTTCTGCCTATATACATAATGTCATTCCCAATTTTCATGTGTCATGCTCATAACTGTTTCTTTGTAAATGGTATAAAAGCTCCGGTGGAGTAGTTTTGGCTTCACAAGATGGGAAGATCGTCTGTGAGAACACTCTGGATGCTCGATTGGATGTTGTCTTCCGGCAGAAACTGCCTGAGGTATGTATCATCATCATTGAAATGTAATTTGATATCTTCTTGACACTCAAATTAGACAAGATTTTCTTTGGAACCTAGGCCCCAAGAGGGTGTGTGTGAGAGAGAGAGAGAGAGAGAGAGAGAGAATGCATCATATAGACTGATGCTCTTTGAACCTATGTTATTTTTCCATGCACAAATCAATGTCCACTAAGACAAATAAGTTAAAGACTCACTCAACTTTTTCAGTGGCAAAAAAAATTACTTATAAGCATTTTCCAAACCCATTGACTTTTTTAGTGACAACTTTATCCCAAAAAAGCTTTAAAAACTATTAAAAATGCAATTGTCAAACCTGCCTTAAGTGGTTAAGTTAGTGAGCTATGATGAAACAGGTTTTTGCCAGAAACGTTGTAGATTTCAGATTTCATTCAACATAATTTGTAGCTTGTTCAGTTTACTCCTGACTCATGAGTTGGTGATTTGCAGCAACTAGTCAGTAAGAACAAGAAGTCCTTTTTATGGCTCATTATTTTCATCTTGAATTGTGTTTTTCTGTTTTTCTGAAGACATTTAGAGGGATTTGTCTACAAGCTTTGCTGGAATTTCTGCTTGTATATTTGAAAGGCATTATATTGTTTTTTCTCTATTGTCATTTTTGAAATATTTTAATTGCTTTCTTCAATGTTTCACATCTATGTAGATTCGCAAGCACCTCCTTGGTCGCAGCACTGCATAATCAATGTTGTTTTCTCTGACTCTGGAAACGGGACCCCACATAGCCTTCTTCGTCATGGGGATGGTTTTGAGCATCTTGGAGACAGATCATCTGCCTGTTAGATTATAATATATGTATATATATATATATATCCATGATGTTAGGAAGTGATAATAATTGTTCTGTTACATAGGTTAAGAACATTATAGATATTGATCTGTGTTATAATAATTTGGATCATTGAATCCTTATTAAATGAAAGAATATTAGCCTTTATCCTCCATCCGGAGTGTATTCGTTTTCTTCAATTATCCCATCATTTGAACTTAAAATAATCCCAGTATCCTTTGTGTTATGATTCTTTGAATATTAGAATATAAGTGACAAGCGTTACACATTTTGCCATAAAAGTTGGGGAGTGACATTTATCTCATCCTTTTCTCTTCATTTATTTATGATGCAAGATTTGACAGGTTGCTATTAAATTCTTAAGCCTCCCCTATGTTCCTCCTTTACACTAAACAAAAAAACTGACAAAACTACAAAATTGAATTGTAGCATGTGGTCAGTTTCAGCTCATCAACCAACAAAACCAAAGAATTTGATTTCAGTGCTAAATTTTCTCACTGAACTGAACCAATTACACTCCAAATTCCAAGATATCTACTGATCTCAACATGGGATGACTCAGCCATATAATTTTTACCAAACTACAAAGTAGACACTATTTCGTGAGCCAAAGGGCAAAATAATAAAAATACAAGACGGATCACATAGAAGAAGAAGAAACCAATGAAGTGCAAGTTGAAACATTGACTATTTTGTGCTCTGTTGCTGAGAGAGTGAACTAGGCTGAACTCTAATGGGGTAAATTAACTCAAGTGAAGGTTCTTGGTAGACATCCAACTCATCTCATTTAAATTTTTGAAGGTTTTGGGCCCAGATCATGTACGGTTTTGCATAAACTAGCTCGTTTCAACAACTACAACATAAAGAGTCGGCCACAATTCCTCCATGGACACCCTATTATGAAATCGAGCCTATGATCTGCCATCTTAACATCTACAAAACTTCGTGAACATCCACTCATCTATAAGATAGGATTATAACTCAAAATTAAGCTAAGAAACAGAATACCTCCGACTCCTCCCAGTTTTGCCTTCCAACACCCTGGATTTCCTCCCAGATTTGTGGTGCTTTCCACCCCCTGGAACCCATTAAAGATTCCAATCTCTTTCGCGATCTCCTTAGAGAGTGAAGTTAAAAATGTCTTCCCATTCCCTGACTTCTCCATCATCCCTTGTTTCATGAACCCCTGTTCTTTTTCCAGTTCACTGAGCCTCACTCGCATCCTTGAGATCTCGAGCTTCAGCTCCCGGTTCTCCCTCCTCAAAGAAGCATAATTATCCCGAGGGGACATAGCTGCACTGGGGACGCCACTGCTGATTTTTTGGGAGAGGAATCCATCTCCAGAACTTCCAGACAATGCATTCTTCAGACGGATTTGCTCAAAATAGAGAACTCGCACTGTCATCTGGACTGGGAGCCTGTCATTCTGTGCAGCATGATTGCAGGCTTCTTGAGAGAGCTTTTGGCAGTCTATGTACTTACAGAGCCTCTTACTTTCATGCTCTGTTACCATTGGGTGGGCCTAATCAGAGAAAAGTCAGAAAATTAGAAGAACTACTAAAGAGCAGTCAAAATTTCATTGCATTCAGAGAAAACTTGGAACTGCCTCCCAATTTGCAAATAAAACACAATTTTACTATTTCAGCCAATATGTGATGCCTCGAGTTGGTTGCATTACATTTACCCTCTTTTCTTCTTCTTCTTCTTCTTCTTTTTTAAGAAACAAGAAACATATTATTATTTTTCCGCCATGGACTTTTTTGCTTACTGTTTCTCCGTGTGTTTTCACATATTTTGGTAGCAAGTGAAAACACATTTTTTGTGTTTTAATTTTGGACCCTTAATTTAAAAACAAATTTCAAAAAATAAAAAACAAAAAACAAAAACGTGCACCAAACGTGTTTCTGTTTTGTGTTTTCAAAATCTTTGAAAACAAAAGCTCAAAAACATGAAACAGAATTGAGAACACAAAACAAATGGGCCCCATGTTAGCCAACAGTTATTATGAAAATCAGGTGGATGGAGCCGGTGTGGAGCTGATGTCGACTAGAAAAGATACTGTTCATGTTAATAAACAGATGAGATAGTGTTCTAACTTAATATTTATTTTGCATAAAGAAACTTAAATTCACCTTCAAATATATATCAACCGCTCTATATAGCCCATCATCAATCACACGAGCATAATCAGGCAGTACCTCAACCATAGCAATGAATTTTTGTAGACTCAGATACGGATCAGGAGCAATTTCAGCTAAATATGCATCAACAAGCCGTCCAACTATTAACACAGAGCCATGACTTGGAGAATCAATGGCTTCCGATTCATACTCACAATCATCATTTTCTTCTTCTTCAATCCGCTGCAGGAAATGCACCAATATACGATGTACGGTGTCAACATCAAACAAAGAGTCACCAACCTGGATGGATGGTATAAGCAGATCATCCAGCAAAACCATTTCCAACCTAAACGAAATCCTCCTTTCAAGCTCAAGCCTGCAAGCTAGGGTAGCATCCAACATGATTGCCATCCTCAACATCCCAAACAGAAAACTCAGCGGAATAGATGAACCCTTCTCTGTTGGCAGAAGACTCACAAGAGTTTCCACAATAGCTTTCTGACCATTTTCCATCACACTTGTTCTTGCTGGGTTCCAAATTTGCTGTTTTCCAATAACCTTTAAAGATACTTGGGCATAATGCATTAAAGACGCAATAATGCTATCTGATCGCACACCAGTTCTTCCCATAGCAGAGACAACTCTCTGATAAAAATCAATTCTTAGTCCCGAGAGATCTTCCACCCACCACTCAAGACATCCACCCTTAAGTTCTACAGATCCGCTGTCACAATCTAGGCGGGATAAGCCTGATACTAACTGCTCCTTACAAGCATTCACCGCAATGGCATTCGAACATCTATTTAAAATTCCCAAGTCCTCTGCAATAGGAAGCAGTGTCTCACAAGCACAGAGAACTTGGACTGACTTTTCGAGATTTTGAACAACCACCTCATTCAGATAGGTTTCTGTTCGTGCAATGAGATTTTCTTCACGATAGTCTTCAGTCATTTCCAAGAATTCTGCAGCACAGCGAAGATGTGCTACATTTGAAGCAGTGATCTCAAAGTTCATGCCATAACAGAATTTTGCAGCTAGCTCAAATGCCCAGGCACCACCTGGTAAGCTAACAAGTTCCAACTTTGAAATATTTGAATCCTTAGCATCAGCCACCATTTTCCGGACCTTCCCACTTCGAGCTACAAGGGGAAACTTTCGTAAACAAGAGCCAAATAACACAATTTGATTAGTATTGGAAAAAAAACAGATGTTTTCAAACTTAAAAGTGACATTGATGTAGCAAATGAAGGAAAATAATCATTTTTAAGACGTATATATGAAGGGAAAAAATATTAACAGAAGCCTCAATGTGGACCTAGTAAATTAAGACACTGTTATCAAAGTATGTATGCATCAGCATAATTCTGTATATATAATATGCATGCTGCATTGGAAAAGAAATATTTCATGTTTATTCTAGAGCTTATGGCAATGTTCTGCAGCAGGAACCAGTTGCACTTAGATCAAATTCAGCCAAGATAAATAAATAACCTTGTGTAGTAGAAAAGACTCTCCATCAACAACTACTGTAACATCCCCAGCAACATCTGAAAAAATACTGCACAGAAGGAAAAGAATATTATATACATTGTCATAGAACTCTAAATATTGAATTATATTCAACATCAAAAGAGGTCATAGCATATAATTCAACATTTAACTACATATCTTGAATCAAAAAAGCATTTAACTACATATCCAAGAAAGCCATTAATGATGCAAAATTATTCCATACAATCAAACCAAGCATTGACAACTATTGGTTATCTATGGACAACTATTGGTCATGGTTACTTGATTCGGGTTTGGTGGAGTGGTGGTGGCTGCAAGTTGCGCCCTTCCAGGAGGTTTATGTCAACTGATTCACATGGGTTTGAACATGTTGCTTGGTGGTGGTTGCAACTTGCGCCTTATCAAGTAACTTGTATGGGTTTTCCTAGTTGTCTTCCTTTCTTTCCGTTTTATGGTGTCATTGTTACTCTAGTTTTTTGCTCTATTTCCTACCTCTACGGGCTGTGTAGGGGGTTTTATTTTTGTTTTGCTTGGGTAGGTAGGGTGAATAGGATTCAGTTGGTTGCTGAATCCTGTTCAGGTTTGTATAGCTGTTTTGGGTGCAGGTGCTGTTACGTGGCTGCCCTGTTTTGATATGGATGGCTGGTGGTTGCTTCTTATTGTTGGCTACACAGTGTTGGTTTTTTAGCCTTAGTCTGTGTTTTAGTACAGGCTAATTTAGTAACTTTTTGACTATTTGGCTAAAAAAGTTGGTAAAAAAAACTTATATGTTTGGGATGACTTTTTGGCTAATTACGAAAAGTTGTGCAAAAAGTAGAGAGAAAAGAGAATCTTTGACTTTTTGGTATGAGTTGTTGGCTTTTTGGCTAAAAATGTAACTTTTTGGCTTTTTGACTAAAAAGGTAAGTCCCCAAACGGGGCCTTAGTCTGTGTTTTAGTTTGGTTTTCATTTGTTTTGTTTGTGTTGGTGGTTTATATAGTCGTGGTAGGGCTGGGGGCATGCCCCTTGTAAATTTGTAATTATCCTATTTTATTTTATGTCTTATTCACCTAAAAAAAAAAACCAATGATTGACATTTTAAGCTGATGAATAGTTGTTAAAAACAAAGTATGAGGATTTAAATAAAGACGGTACATGTCATGCAATGCCAAATGCCCAAAAAGAAACAACAGTTTTATGGTGTCATTGTTACTCTAGTTTTTTGCTCTATTTCCTACCTCTACGGGCTGTGTAGGGGGTTTTATTTTTGTTTTGCTTGGGTTGGTAGGGTGAATAGGATTTAGTTGGTTGCTTCTTATTGTTGGCTACACAGTGTTGGTTTTTTAACCTTAGGCCTCGTTTGGGAACAGGCTAATTTAGTAACTTTTTGACTATTTGGCTAAAAAAGTTGGTAAAAAAAACTTATATGTTTGGGATGACTTTTTGGCTAATTACGAAAAGTTGTGCAAAAAGTAGAGAGAAAAGAGAATCTTTGACTTTTTGGTATGAGTTGTTGGCTTTTTGGCTAAAAATGTAACTTTTTGGCTTTTTGACTAAAAAGGTAAGTCCCCAAACGGGGCCTTAGTCTGTGTTTTAGTTTGGTTTTCATTTGTTTTGTTTGTGTTGGTGGTTTATATAGTCGTGGTAGGGCTGGGGGCATGCCCCTTGTAAATTTGTAATTATCCTATTTTATTTTATGTCTTATTCACCCAAAAAAAAAAAAACCAAGCATTGACATTTTTAGCTGATGAATAGTTGTTAAAAACAAAGTATGAGGATTTAAATAAAGACGGTACATGTCATGCAATGCCAAATGCCCAAAAAGAAACAACAAAATATAAGGTATCATCAAAGTTTGACCAGATCGAAACTAAGTACATGTCAAACAGAGTCAATTTCAAAAAGAATAACATTAGCTTTAAAGTTCATTAACAAAAATATTTAACTTTTAGCTTGAAGTTAAAACCTTAAAACTAATTTATTGGGTCTAAACGCTGAGCTAAACTTTAGAATGGTACTTCCTAACAATTAACAAAGACAAATTAGGAAAGGGCTAGGATTCCCTCCAATCTGTGATCGGAATAGAGATACTTTGGGCCCGTGGGCCCACCACGGGTCCCTTTTCAATAATCCGAACCGTTTAATGTGTAAAACTCGTTGAGTATTATATGACAGTAAAAAATCATGTTGATCGGATATCGATAATTATTTCATCGGATTAGATTTCTGTCGACCATTTATTTTTTCAACATCCATTTTTTATTTATTATAAAACTGATTTGATCACGTAACTATCGATATTCAATCAACATAATTTTTACAGGTATATATAGTACTCAACGAGTTCTACACATTCAACTCAACGGTTTAGATTATCAAAACATGACTCGTGGTTAGCTCCCACGGGAGAGAAACCAGGGCCATTAGGAAAAGGAAAGGGGAAAAATAGAAAAAAATAAAATAAGAAATAAAAAGGCAAGCACATGACAGTACAAATAGTAACGCTAAACTTGGTCACAATACAACTCACAAACAAAACAAAGAAAAATTCTAAGTGCATAAAATCCGATCATAGCACATGACACAAAGGTGGATCTAATAAATGTGTGGATCCAACTCTATGTGGCAGGGTTGTGTATGCACGTAGAAGAACTATGCAACAAAAGTCTCAAAGCTCAAGTTCAAGTAACCCAATCACAGCATTAGAACTCCCAAAAAAAAAAAAAAAATCATGGAAAGGTTTACAAATTATGTCTATTATATGCTTTAAAATTTGAATTTCCTAGTTTAAAATTTTGCTTTGCGTGATCAGTTCATCAGTTGTGACGAAATCTAAACAGGGAAAAAATGGTAATCCAAAAAAGACCAACCAATGTATGCTACGCACATAATGTGTGTGTATATATATATATATATAGAGAGAGAGAGAGAGAGATGGGTTACCGGTTAGAGAAGGAGTTGCAGAACTTGGGAGTGGGAGAGCGGCTGAAAGAGTTGTCGGACACCATTTTGCTGCTTCTCACTTCCAACTTCACTTTTCCAAACAGAGCATGTCAAACAAACTAATAACTGGGAATTGGGAATTAAAAGGAATGGGAATGTGAAGAAGTGAGAGAAGGAATAAGAATATTTTGGAATATTTTTGTATCTGAATTTACGCAAGTAACCTCGTGGCACACATTGATTTACGACAAAGCTTCTCCTTTTATTTTTCTGTTCCTGCACAGCTTCCTTTTGCTTTTGCTTTTCATTGCTTTGTCTTGTACCATCATCAATAATAGTAAAAATCTCCAACAATGATTGAAATCCCATTTTTTAAAGATTTTTACAACTCTTAAACTTTTTTTAGATCTTTATCATTAATGATGTAAATTTCACATATATATGATAAATTGTGTGAACCTCACGTATATATGAATGAGCCTCATTTATATATTAATGGTGAAAATCTAAACAAGATTGTGAGGATCTTAAAAAAAAAAAAAAAAAAATGAGAATCTCAAAATTTTTTAAAAATCACTAACTCAAACCCTAATTCAAAAAATATATATATTAAGGATTATTCGATAACTATTTCATTTTCAGTTTTTAATTTATATTTATAAAAATTAAAAAAATATCATAAATTTTTTTTTTTGATTTATAAATTGTTGTTTCAGTTTGTAAATTTGAGAAAAAACGTAAACTCAAAAAATGAGTTTACATTGATTTTTATACAAAAATTAAAAAATTTGACTTAACAAATTTTTTTTTCAAATAATTTTTTTTTCAATTATAATGTGTATGATCCCATTGCCATAAATAATAAAAAATAAATATGAATATTTTAAGCGTGAACAAACATATTTTTTAGTTTATATTTTTAAAATTTTTCAAACATTTTGTTCAAACTAAATGCGTTTGTAGTTTATGTTTTTCTAAAAATAAATAAAAACCAGTTTATAAAAATTTTGTAAATATAAACAAAAAAACGTAAACGTTATCAAACGCTACCTAAAGGTATATATTGTTTATGTTTTGAGATAAATGTTTAAAAGAAATTTTGGAGAGAGAATTTACGGCTGTATTTGGTTGTGATTTCAAAATGTGATTCAACGTGGTAGTTTGAGTATAGTGTTTGGATGGAGCTGTGGAATTAATTTTCCACAGCTCTGCAGAACGCTCTGTCTGTTCTGTCAAAACTGAGTGCGTGTTTCAATTTTTTTTGAAAAACGGGACGTCCGGCCGGTTGACCGGAATAGTGATTTTTTTTTTTTACATTTTTTTTTTTTGCAATTGATATATATTTGAAATTTTTTTAATTTTTTTTGTGCTTTAAAATAATTTTGAATTGTATGTTTAGTTATGAGTTGTAAATTTTTGTATCACATATCAAATGTCACATCAATAATTTCCCACTCAAATCAAACCTCTTTTCCAAAACTATTTTCAAAACTCTTTACCAAACAAATTTTCTACACTCAAATCATAATTCCACAACACACAAACTCAAAATACAACTCATACTCTCAAATCACATTTACAAAACTCTACCAAACGCTACCTACAAATTTTTTTGGTTTGTTTAGTTGTGTATTTTGAAAATAATTTTAGAGGTTGAGAGTTTGGAATGATTTGATATTTTATTGTAATTGAATAGATGTGTATAAGAGAAATAATAATTGAGAATGAGAAAGGAGAGAAAAAGATAGATTGATTGATTGATGTGTAGGAAAGAAAAAAATAATTTAAAAAAATTTCACCAAATAAAATTTTAAAACAAATTTATAAAAATTATATATGAACATACAAACCAAATAAATACTAAAATTTTTTTGAGTAGTCAGTTGGGAATAGAAGTCACTCACGCGATCCTGTAAAAAGTGAGCTCCAAAATTTCCGAATTGGCTTTGGCTATACTATAGAGACGTTACAGTCAGTCAGGCCACCAACGGGCGTGCGTTTCTAGGCTGCCTTTGTTCGGAGGAGCAATAATTTATAATTTTAAATTTGGATCTCTAACAATGATATTAATGATATAGCGTGGAGTAAAAAAAAATTAGACACCTACCTCAAGCGTGGAGTAAAAAAAAATTAGACACCTACCTCAAATTATTCAGGAGTAAAATCCACTACCACATAAGTAAAGTTCTCATTAAAATTTTACTTTTATGCTGTGTTTAGTTAGGAGGATTTAAGGAGGGATTTAGAAAAGGAAAGGGAAAAGGTGTGTGAAACTATGTGAAATGTAGGTATATTTTTTTCACATTTCACCTACCTTTTCCATTTCTCTTTCCAAATCCCTCCTCAAATCTCTCAACCAAACACAGCATTAATGTTCTTAAACATTTCTATTGTTTGGAGTCCTCCTTAGTCTCTAAAAGTCACTGTTGTTGTGACCCATGTGCTCCTTAATGCGCCTAAAACAGCACAGTTCTTTTTTTCATATTCTTACTATGTTTTTTGACATGATAATTTACGCTTTACCTTAAACTCTAAACTTTAAATCTTAAAATAAAAATAAATAAATTTTAAGAATTAAATCTTAAGCCCAAAAATTTTAAAAAAAAAAATTATCCTAAACCCTAAAATAAAAATAATAAATTTTATCCCTAAACCCTAAAATAAAAATAATAAATTTTAAGAATTAAATCATAAACCCTAAAACCTAAAATATAAAAAATATATAAATTTTAAAAATTAAACCCTAAATCTTAAATTCTAAAATAAAAAAAATTAAAAATTAAAGTAAAAAAGTGACCAAATATAAAGGCAAAATGTAATTTATCGTGCCAAAAAACATAGTGGGAACATAAAAAAATAAAAAATAAAAAAAAGAAAAAGAAAAAGGGGTGAAACTATGACGTTTTAGGTACAACAAGGGTCATAGCAGTGACCTTGTATTTCATTTTCTTTGCTTTTCTTTTTCATGAGAAGTTATTGATGGGTTAAGTGTAGCGCCACGTGATCAAGGACGGAGTTAGGATAAGTAGGTGTTTCGTATGTACTAAAAAAGTATAATTTTTTTGGTATACTTATATATTTATTTGGATCACATCTATCAATATCTCCTCTCTATTTTTTTACATATTTTTTTTTTATAAAATGTCAAAAAGTATACTTATTTAGAATATCTCAAACCATCTCTTAGTGGGGGGTCCAAACAAAAATAAATAGGATAAATCTTATTATATGAAAAATCTAATTAAGTCCGTTCTAATAAAATTTTGAATTACTTAAATAAAAATAATTAAAATTTATTTAAAATTTATTACTTATTTTATAATTTGTGTGTATATAAATTAATATTGTATCAATTTATTAAGATATTGAGCAAGTGAAGCATTATAAAATTGAAAACAACATAGTGGTTAAAATAGTTTGATTATTTCGTTGTGTTAAAACAAGTTCACCTGCCAACAAGCTTTTGACAATTATCTAAATAAAAAATTATTGTGTCAAACTTAAATATATACTTTCCAAGTGGGTAAACTTTGAAAATAAAATTCAAAAAGTTCCAAATTTAGAGTTAATTTTCTATGGATCTAATTAAAATGGGTCTGGTTTACTCAAAAAAAAAAATATTTTTTTTTTTTTTATTATACGCATTTTATTGAGAGTGTACATCTCTTGCACCTTTAACATATATTCTACCCTATGTTTGGTTTATAAATTTGGATAAGAAAATAAAAAAACTGGATGAAATGTGAATGAAATAAAACTATATTTCACATACATTTTTTTTTCTTTTTTAAATCCCTATTCAAATTCATAAATCAAACACAACATGAGTAATAGATTAACAAAATCCAATAAAAATTACTACTAAATATTGCTTCTTTGCCACACTTTTCGTTTGGCAATATCACATTTTAGTTTAAAAGTTTAAAAATCTTTAAAAAAATTCAAGAATCTAACAAACTATACAAAAAAGGTCAAAATATTTCTTTTTCTTTATGCTTTTTACACATCTTGTCGTAAAAAATTAAAAAATCATCACAAACATATTAATTTTTTTATCTTATATTTTAACTAAAAAATTAAAAAATTATTAAAATAATCTGTTTCTAAACAATACCTCAGTAATGTTTGGGCTCACTCTATCTTCTGTGAGATAGATATGTATGGTAGGGATCAGAATTTTTACAGGGGCCAAACATCAACAAACAGCTGCACATCATATCACATACATATACATAGGGTTCTTACAATTTTTGCAAGGCCACGACCCCGTCCCCCACTTCCCTCCAACTGCACGTGACCCTCTGTATGTATTATGATTAATGAAGGCAGTGAGACTCATTATTTTGTGTTTATTGATTAAAAAACATGAAAGGAGATGAGAATTTGTGATTGACCTAAAATATGATCATGTGATGTCCCAAGATCAACTAATAATTTTTATTAATTTTTTTTTATGGCCAAACAAAAATACAAGGATACTCTAGAAAGTCTAAATTTATGAGCTTTAAATTGATCAATTTTTACAACTTTCTTGTTTTGTCTTTATTCGTTTGAATCCTGTTTTTCTCTACTGTTAGTTCAATTATTTGATTTGCCTTATCTATTTGTATACAGTGACAAAATGTACATGAGCCCCTATTGCAAGCTACTCCAAAATAATAAAGTGTTTTAAGAAAATAATTAAAAATTATTTTTTAATTTTTTTAATTATTTTATAAAAGAAAGATGAGACTTAAAAATTGAGAAATAACTTTTAAACCACCTTTCCAAAATAGCTCACTAACAGAACATGTCCAAGAAATTTGACAGATTATGTACAAGCAAGCAGGAAAATAGTAGTAGTGTTTGAACCTGAGGGGGCAACATGGTTAATAGCTTAAAAGATATGAGGGTATTTGGAGGAAAGCGGTGTAAAGCAAGCAGGGGAGCAGCTGTGAGGAGGAGGAGGCGTGGACTGATGGGACACAAGTAAGAAGTTGTTGGCACGGAACTCTATAAAAACCCTCTCTCTCTCCCAATTATTTAGAATATGCAAGTAAAAGAAAAGCAATGTTATAGATCATTAATTTATCATCATTAATATTATTATTAGTGAGGTGACAATTAAAAAAAAAAAAAACAACAAGGCACAAAGCACATACCCACTGTCACATTATTA